AGCTGAAGCTGAAGCTGGTCTCACAAATCAGGTATTTCTCTGTGTGACTGATGCAAACATTCAAAGCATGTTAATGTTTGGACGTGGTATTTCACGTGCTGTTATTAGCTCAAAGAAGCCTACCTAGAAATGAATGGAAAATTTGGGCATAACCTGACTTTTCCTCTCAGACTGGGAAACTTAGAAGGAATTACTAATCTTTGATGTAGCACTGATTTTGATGGAGAAAAAAACGGATATCATCATCGAATAATCCTGTGAGTGATGTGAAATTAGTCTGTATTTTACAAACCAAAAGAAGCATTTCACCTTATACACAAGTTATAAAGTCTTTGTCATAGAGTGTCCTTAGAGTGTCAGCCCCTGTGGGATATATTGTATGTGGCTTTCTGCTTTGGCATATCCTGCTTTGTTCTGGTCCCTCTGTGGCTTGTGCTGGTTCCCAACACTTTTCATGTCAAGTCATCTGATGTTTCTCTCTTGAGGGAGGTTATCAGGAGCTGTTTCCTTTCCATACAGATTTATTTCCTGAAAGCTAGAGAAATTCAGAAAGTTGCCTTCACTTCCTTCATGGGCAGCTCCCATCACAGTAATGAACATTCCAACTTCATGCTGAATGGTGAAATAAAGGGGGGCACTGCAAATTTGTGCCTCATCAAAATGCTTTTTCAGGCAATTTACTGAGCCAGAAAGGCAGCACATCATCCATTTATAGGCTTGTATTTGAAAGTTTTCTTCCCAGACACAAAATCAATTTGCTGTTGGGGCTTAATAAACTGTGTGTGTGTGTACGTGTGTATGGAGAAGGCAGTGCTGGTAGTGATGAGAGCTAAGTGGGATCCAGAGCGCAGGTCCCTGATGGGACTTAACCTCTTTGTGATTGGTTTCTGTTCTAATACTCATCCAAACAAACACATTTAAATCTGATCAAGAAGATTATTAGGCAAGGAAATCTATTAACCATTTTTTAAAACTCTCTATTCTACAGCAGGGAAGTAAATCACAAAGTTTACATTTTGCACAATTTCTATCATCCCTGCAGTGTTCTTTACAGCTATTTCAGGCACGTAGCAATTCTTCTGAGACTGAGAAGAAGCCTTAATTAAGCCAACAGGCCCTGAACACCCACCTCACCTCCTCGTTCTGATTGAGGTACCATTTCTGTCTCTCACTCAGGGAGGTTTCCCCATTTAGAAACCCACCCCAAAAGAGCTCTGATTTAGCAATACACCTCTCTGCAAGCAGCAGTGCTGATAGCTGCTGTGCTGCAATAAGCATCAAGAGAGGTGAGGGCTCGCCTTGGGAAATGGCATTAAGTGATTTGTAGGGGGAAAAAAAAATGTAATTAAATGGTGAGATTACAAAACAGGATGTAGGTAGAGCAACTGCCTTAATGCCTGTTTTCACTGAAGCAATCTAGCTGAGCATCTGGCAGGAAAATGCTGCTTGTGATGAGGGAGAAACCCTCTGAGAGGGTCCCAGCCTAACCCAAAGTGAGTGCTGCTAGCAGCAGATGTGGGACTGCCTGCTGGTTGCATCTCTGGTCTTGGGGGGTTTCCACCCACAGTGCATGCAGGATGTCTGGGAGAGGAGCAAGAGAATGATGTCTGTTACAGCAGAACCACTGGGGTGTGGTGGCTCACTCAGGGCTTCAACAAGGAATGCTGATTTCAGCTGGATGGTGTGAGCGACCTGAAATCTCTGCTCTTCCAGGAGCATTTGCAGTGATTTTGCTCTGTTCTGTAGTGTTTTCCAATGGACTGCCATAAGCTGCAGCACCCAAAGTCAGTGATCACAGTCTTGTCTGTGGGCAATGGGCATTTTCTGACTTCCCCTGAAATCAGCCTGTGTCACTAATGAGTTCAGGTAAAGCTTTTTGCCGCTATATTTAAACCCAATCACTGTTACATTTCCCAGAGAAAAACACTGCCTGCACCACCAGCAAGCAGTGCATTGATTTTGTATCAGCAAGGCTGCCTTTGATTTTAGCAGCTATTTATTGCACATGTTCCCACCAACTGCTTTCTAATGGAATTTTAACAATTCAGTAGGGTCACTTGAAGGTCTCAAGGAAGGAAGGGAAAATTTTGTCTCCTAGAGGAAATGCTTCTGTCCAACTGTGCCTTCAGTCACCCTCATAAGTCCGTCAGGGTGGTGCGTTTTTACCTCTCTTTTCATCCAGCTAGTTCTGATGAATCCTAGTGATTCATTTTCCAGGCACACTTGGTTCTTTTTCGTTTAGCTTGTCCTGGCAATCTTTACACAGTTCCATCCCTGAGCTACTGGTTGCTGGAGACTGGGAATTTACAAAGTGGTGACGTCTGGGCTCTTGGCATGTGTTGGGATGGGCAGCAGTTCACTGCTGTCAGCCTCAGGTCTGACGAGCCCTCAGTTTGGGCACAGTACATCTACCCTCATCTACCCTTAAAGTACTGCTATAAGAACAGATCTAAATACATCTCTCTTCTGCTTCCTATCCTATAGAAAATGGCCTTCTTCATTTGAATTAGAATACCGCACTGGAGGAAACATTTTGGTTTGGGCAAGTGCCAGGCCTACTGAATGGGATCCTGGTGTCCCAGTGGACACCAAGTGGGACTTTAGCCAGCAGCGTGTCCTTGCTGCAAAGAAGGCTGCTGATATCTTGGGGTGCAGTAGAAGGAGCACCAGCAGCAGTTAACTTCTTTCTCGTTCGGGTGACCAAGCAGTGGCTCAGTTTACCCAGAGAAGTTGAGGAGTCTCCTTCCTTAGAGACAGCCAAAAGCTGTCCTGGGGGATCAGCACTAAGTGGTCTTGCTTGAGCAAGGAAACTAGGTGAGGAGTTTCTTCTAATCTTAGCCATTCTGTGATTCTGTGATTTGTATAAATAGCAAAGCCACACTCCTCTCTACCACTTACACATGCATAATGCACATTACCTAAATGCTACAAGTAACAGAGCACTGTACATGTACTGTGATTTCAGCTGAGACTTGACCTGAGTGCTGCAGTTGTACCTCTTTGCATACTACCTAGTGCAACAGAATCCTGAAGGTAACAAACAAGCACTAAGTGTCAGGATCTGTCACTCACTGACCATCAGTCACCTTAAAGGGAACCAAGCCTGGTGGATTTTCTGAGCTGCTCTAGCACAATTATGTGTTACAGCAACAGCCAGTAGTGGCTGAAAGGAAATCTGTCTTCCAATCAACCTTTTCACTTTGTAGAAAAGTGAGCTTGAATACAGCTGAGGCCAACCATAGGACAAGCCAGAGTGCATATCTCCTTTTTGGAAATCCATAACTGTACTGGCGATTAAGCCAAACTGTTCTTCTCAGGGGCAGCACAACCACAGGAGTTAGAAGTGGTGGGTTAGGCTGATGGGCAGCAAAGGCATCTATTTGCAGCAGAGCCCTACTGTGAGTGCAGGCATGGCCCAGGGACAGGTTGCTCAGAGCTGGCAGCGCTGCTGGTTTCTGGCTATACACCCAGCCCAGGCTTTTTGGATCTTCACAATGGCTGTCGCTATGGAAACTGGGTTTTTTGGGGGGTTGTTATTTTTGGGGTTGGTTTTTTTTTTTTGTTTTTTGAAAAGGCACTGGTTAAAAAAAGGGAAACTGAAACTTGTGCCCTGTTCTCT